AAAAAACTTTTAAAAATTAGCTGGGTGTGGTGGCAGGTACCTGTAGTTCCAGCTACTTGGGAGGCTGAGGCAGGAGGATCACTTGAGCCCAGGAGTTCAAGACTGCAGTGAGACTTGATTGTGCCATTGCACTCCAGCTTGAGCGACAGAGTGAGACCCCAACTCAAAAAAAATCAATGAACTGGGCACGGTGGCTCACGCCTGTAATCCCAGTACTTTGGGAGGTGGAGGCAAGAGGACTGCCTGAGCCCAGGGGTTCGAGACCAGCTTGGGCAACTTGGAGAGATCTCGTCTCTACAATAAATCAAAAAATTATAGATGGGCATGATGGTTTGCACCTGTGGTTCCAGCTACTTGGAAGACTGAGGTAGAAGGAGTTCAAGCCTGCACTTCAGCCTGGTCAAAAGAGTAAGACTTCAGCCTGGGCAAAAGAGTGAGACTCCGACTCAAAAAAAAGGTCAATCAACCAGTAAAAATTAATAATAATAAAAAAGAGAGAGAGCTTGAAGGTACAAGAGGTGACCAGGAAATGCTGGGGTGGCGAAGTTACATAGAAGAATAGAACTGGAATGACAGGAGGGGGTCATTAGATAAAGGGAGGTTCAAAACCAAGATTTTTGGAAGCGGTGCTTTATTTTGCTAATGCCAAGGTCTGATGATTAACAGAGGAGGGGGAGGAGGCTGAGATGAGGGGGGAGACATCTTTTGAAGAGAGGCATTCAAAATATGGAAAGGTTCAGATGTGGGATGCATCTCTGTGGATGTTGAGGCCACCGAGACTAAGGACAGAAGTAGTGATGAGAAGAAAACAGTGAGCAGGAGCTGAAGAGCTGGAAGGAGTGAGACAGGAAGGAGAGAGAGCAGGTGGCACCCCGGCTCTGTGAAGCTGGGGTGGGAGTGGGGGGCTTGGGAAAGAGGAAGAACCACAATCCTGAAGAAGCGAGGAAACGCCAGGAGGTCACTTCCTGCATTTCCAGGCCCACAGGGAGTTGGATTTGGAAGAAAAACCCACCGCTGCTTGACAAGGCTAATAAGGAATGCTGTCATTTCCAGGAAGAAGATGAGAGGAAGAGTCTGAGAAGTCAGAACATGTGGGTGCTATAAATTTCAGAGACTAGCTGGGCTCGGTGGCTCAGTCTGTAATCCCGCGCCTTTGGGAGGCTGAGGTGAGTGAATTGCCTGAGCCCACGGGTTCGAGACCCACCTAGGCAACTTGGCGAGACTTCATCTCTACAATAAATCAAAAATTATTAACCGGGCGTGGTAGCGCGTGCCTGTAGTTCCAGCTACTTGGAAGACTGAGGTGGAAGGATCGCCAGAGCCCAGCAGGTGGAGGCTGCGGTGGCCGGGAGCAGCTGCTGCACTCCTGCACTCCAGTCTGGGCAACAGAGTGAGACTCCAACTCAAAAAAAAAAAAGTTTCAGAGACTGCTGCGTTTTCTTCAGAATCTGTATTCACACACTTTAATGGGCCTGTGGACTTTCAGAAAGGGTGTAAAAGAAACTGTTAGTTTGGAAGGACCAGGCCTGGAATGCCAATCCAGATTGAATGAAACTGAAATCCTGCCTGTGAGTAGGAGAGGAGGAATGACTCTCTCAGGTACCCTATTGAGGGGACTCCCACAAAGGGTGGGAAGTAACTACAGATGATCCTCACAGGCCAGCCGGCACTGAGAGTCTATTGCTCCATGAATCTGGTTGTGTTTTTATTTTGATCAGCCCCTACCCATCTTGAGGCCTCAGTTTCCAAATATATGAAGAGAGGAGTTTGACTGTGTTTTCTCTTGGCCTCCTTCTAATCTGAAGCTCTGTGAATCTCCTGGAAACCAGCTCTGGGTCCAGTCCCTGTGTTGGGCAATGAGACAAGAGGACCCAAAGGTGTCATCTGATAAGAGTACAAAGCCGGATAACACACTCCCATTTGCACAGATGCAAAATCTCAGCCCCTGAGGTCTTTCCCTACCTTGAGCAGATGAGGCAACTGCTGAGTAACCAGCTCCTTAAACTCGTTGAAGCTGAGGCTGCCCTTCCGGCCCTCCTGTGCCGCAAAGGTGAAGAAGGTGGTGACCACTGTCTCGATGGCCGCCTCCAGTTCTGTCAGTGGCTCGGCTGCCATTAGGACCCTGGAACCGGTGCTGACGTCCTCAAGGGGGTGACCTGCAGGACAGGGAAGGGGCAGAGAGGGAGAGTCAGGGAGACCAAGATGCAGGAATATGCCAGAATGCCCCTGCCTTGAAGTTGCCGCCACTGCCTTGATGTGGCCGCCTCAGCCTCTGCCTGGAGGGAGCATTGTAGGGAAGGAAGGAGGGTCAGGGGTTGAGCTTGGGGCAATAGCATCTGAGTTTAGGTGAGGCTGGGGTGTTCAGTTCTAGAAATGCCTGTTTCTGTAGGTCTCACAGTCTGGGTGTCCTTTCTAAATATCCGTGTCTTAGGGACCCCTCTGTGGTGATTCTTCGGTCTGGAGACTCCTCTGAGAGGGGGTTTGTAGTCTGAGGGTCCTCCTTTGGAGTCCTTTTGAATCGGGCGGCCCCTCTGTGGGTTGTCTGTCCCAAGGGTGCCTTCTTGTTGTCTCACCCGGCCTCAAAGGGTCATGAGGTTGTTTGTCTCCAAAGCTTGTTTATGTTGGGACCCGCAGCCGCCAGCGCTCTGCCCGCCCACACACTCTGACCGCTCTTCCCAGCAGAGTAGCTGAGGGTCTGGCAAGTGCCCAGCTGTGTCAGAGCTGGCTCAGTCTGGCCAGAAGCATCTTCTCGTCCCCCCCCCCCAACCCCTACATCTCCTCTAGGGGCAGCTGGGCAGGGTGCTGAGCCCAGAACCCCACGGATCCTCGCTCCTGTCTCCCGGTGACAAGTGTCCTGGAACAGGTCTCCTCTGACTCTCTGCGCCCAGGAAGGGTTTGGTATGGACACTCACATCTCCCAAGGGTGCAGCGGGGAAGGGGGTAGCTGGGGAAGGGTCTACGCCCACTCATCCCTCCCTTCTCCGTCCACAACCCACACACACACTCCTGCAGTTCCCGATGCTTGATCTCCCAAAGCCACTTCCTGAATCCCTTGTTTGAGCAAGCTCAGGGGGCGGGGCCTGAGAGTCCCGGGAGAAAAAAGGATCCCCAGGCTCGCTCTGGGATTAGGGGCAAGCAACTCACCAGGGCAAGGAGATGGGTGCAGCGAGCAGCAGCCACCGGGCTGAGGTTTACTAAGCAGCAGGGAGGGAAGAGACAGCCGCTCCCAAGCCTGGAGGTGTCAAGTTTCCGTCGTTGATTCCGAAGACCGGAGACCGCCCAATCACGCCTCTCGCCCTGAGCAATCAGGCCTGGGACCCGGCCCCCCCGCAACCCCGCGTGCACCCCCCACTTGGACGGGGAGAGGAGCTGCCTAGACCGATCCCGTTCAGCGGGGGTCCTGGGTCCACCACTCCCATTAGTGCGGGCTGCTGCCCCACCACACCCCCGCACCTAATCAGCAGTGTTTGAGGGGCAGGAGGAGGGGAGAGGCAAATGCCCTAAAAAAACAACTGAAGCCGGCTCGGTGGCTCAGCCTGTAATCCCAGCACTTTGGGAGGCTGAGGTGAGGGGATT